CCTGACATCTGATTTGTGTCCATTTATTCTTTTACATAGAGACTGTCCAGTTTGACCAATGTACATGGCAGAGGGGCATTGCTGGCACATGATGGCATATATCACATTGGTGGATGTGCAGGTGGACGAGCCTCTGATAGTGTGGCTGATGTTATTTGGCCCTGTGATAGTGTACCCTGAATAGATATATGGGCACAGTTGGCAACGGGCTTTGTTGCAAGGATAGCTTCCTGGGTTAGTGGTTCTGTTGTGTGGTATGTGGTTGCTGGTGAGTATTTGCTTCAGGTTGGGGGGCTGTCTGTAGGGAAGGACTGGCCTGTCTCCCAAGATTTGTGAGAGTGTTGGGTCATCCTTCAGGATAGGTTGTAGATCCCTAATAATGCGTTGGAGGGGTTTTAGTTGGGGGCTGAAGGTGACGGCTAGTGGCGTTCTGTTATTTTCTTTGTTAGGCCTGTCCTGTAGTAGGTGACTTCTGGGAACTCTTCTGGCTCTATCAATCTCTTTCTTCGCTTCCGCAGGTGGGTATTGTAGTTGTAAGAATGCTTGATAGAGATCTGGTTGGTGTTTGTCTCTGTCTGAGGGGGTGGAGCAAATGCGGTTGTATCGCAGAGCTTGGCTGTAGACAATGGATCGTGTGGTGCGGTCAGGTTGAAAGCTGGAGGCATGTAGGTAGGAATAGAGGTCAGTAGGTTTCCGGTATAGGGTGGTGTTTATGTGACCATCGTTTATTAGCACTGTAGTGTCCAGGAAGTGCATCTCTTGTGTGGACTGGACCAGGCTGAGGTTGATGGTAGGATGGAAATTGTTGAAATCATGGTGGAATTCCTCAAGTGCTTCTTTACCATGGGTCCAGATGATGAAGATGTCATCAATATAGCGCAAGTAGAGTAGGGGCGTTAGGGGACGAGAGCTGAGGAAGAGTTGTTCTAAGTCAGCCATAAAAATGTTGGCATACTGTGGGGCCATGCAGGTACCCATAGCAGTGCCGCTGATTTGAAGGTATACATTGTCCCCAAATGTAAAATAGTTATGGGTAAGGACAAAGTCACAAAGTTCAGCCACCAGGTTAGCCGTGACATTATCGGGGATAGTGTTCTTGATGGCTTGTAGCCCATCTTTGTGTGGAATGTTGGTATAGAGGGCTTCTACATCCATAGTGGCGAGGATGGTGTTATCAGGAAGATCACCGATGGATTGTAGCTTCCTCAGGAAGTCAGTGGTGTCTCGAAGGTAGCTGGGAGTGCTGGTAGCGTAGGGCCTGAGGAGGGAGTCTACATAGCCAGACAATCCTGCTGTCAGGGTGCCAATGCCTGAGATGATGGGGCGCCCAGGATTTCCAGGTTTATGGATCTTGGGTAGTAGATAGAATATCCCAGGTCGGGGTTCCAGGGGTGTGTCCGTGGTGATCATCCTGATAACACCATCCTGGTCACATAAACACCACCCTATACCGGAAACCTACTGACCACTATTCCTACCTACATGCCTCCAGCTTTCAACCTGACCACATCACACGATCCATTGTCTACAGCCAAGCTCTGCGATACAACCGCATTTGCTCCAACCCCTCAGACAGAGACAAACACCTACAAGATCTCTATCAAGCATTCTTACAACTACAATACCCACCTGAGGAAGCGAAGAAAGAGATTGATAGAGCCAGAAGAGTTTCCAGAAGTCACCTACTACAGGACAGGCCTAACAAAGAAAATAACAGAACTCCACTAGCCGTCACCTTCAGCCCCCAACTAAAACCCCTCCAACGCATTATTAGGGATCTACAACCTATCCTGAAGGATGACCCAACACTCTCACAAATCTTGGGAGACAGGCCAGTCCTTCCCTACAGACAGCCCCCCAACCTGAAGCAAATACTCACCAGCAACCACATACCACACAACAGAACCACTAACCCAGGAAGCTATCCTTGCAACAAAGCCCGTTGCCAACTGTGCCCACATATCTATTCAGGGAACACCATCACAGGACCTAATAACATCAGCCACACTGTCAGAGGCTCGTTCACCTGCACATCCACCAATGTGATATATGCCATCATGTGCCAGCAATGCCCCTCTGCCATGTACATGGGTCAAACTGGACAGTCTCTATGTAAAAGAATAAATGGACACAAATCAGATGTCAAGAATTATAATATTCATAAACCAGTCGGAGAACACTTCAATCTCTCAGGTCATGCGATTACAGACATGAAAGTTGCGATATTACAACAGAAAAACTTTAAAACCAGACTCCAGCGAGAGACTGCTGAATTGGAATTCATTTGCAAATGGGATACAATTAACTTAGGTTACCTTACATAATGACTTAGCCACTCCCAGTCTCTATTCAAGCCTATTTCCCTTGTTTTTTCCTACCTTCTTCCCCCCTCAGACGTTCTTGTTAAACCCTGGATTTGTGCTGGAAATGGCCCACCTTGATTATCATACACATTGTAAGGAGAGTGATCACTTTAAATAAGCTATTACCAACAGGAGAGTGGGTTTTGCGGGGGTGGGGAGAAAATCTGGATTTGTGCTGGAAATGGCCCAACTTGATTATCATACACATTGTAAGGAAAGTGATCACTTTAGATAAGCTATTACCAGCAGGAGAGTGGGGTGGGGGGAGAGAAAAAAACTTTTGTAGTGGTAAACACCCATTTTTTCATGGTTTGTGTGTATAAAAAGATCTTCTGTACTTTCCACAGTATGCATCCGAGGAAGTGAGCTGTAGCTCACAAAAGCTTATGCTCAAATAAATTGATTAGTCTCTAAGGTGCCACAAGTACTCCTTTTCTTTTTGCGAATACAGACTAACACGGCTGTTACTCTGAAACCTGTCATCTGGATTATTGCGTCCAGTTTTGGCCCCCCACTACAGAAAGGATGTGGACAAATTGGAGAGAGTCGAGCGGAGGGCAATGAAAATGATCAGGGGGCTGGGGCATATGACTTACGAGGAGAGGCTGAGGGAAGTGGGCTTATTTAGTCTGCAGAAGAGAAGAGTGAGGGGGGATTTGATAGCAGCCTTCAACTATCTGAAGCGGGGTTCCAAAGAGGATGGAGCTTGGCTGTTCTCAGTAGTGGCAGATGATAGAACAAGGAGCAATGGTCTCAAGTTGCAGTGCGGGAGGTCTAGGTTGGATATTAGGAAAAACTATTTCACTCGGAGGGTGTTGAAGCACTGGAATGGGTTACCTAGGGAGGTGGTGGAATCTCTATCCTTAGAGGTTTTTAAGGCCCGGCTTGACAAATCCCTGGCTTGGATGATTTAGTTGGGGTTAGTCCTGCTTTGAGCAGGGGGTTGGACTATGTGACCTCTTGAGGTCTCTTCCAACCCTAATCTTCTATGATTCTATGATCTCTTCAGGGAGACCTTGGGTAAGACAGTGGCCAACTCCTCCAGAAACAAGAAAAATCTCTACCAGAACTCTAGTTCTCTAGAAAGGAATCTGTCACCTTCAACATGTTGCAGTCTTCCTTTCAGCAGTTTGATCAGTAGCAGGGAAGAATCAGAAGCTATCTGAGGAGCAAGTTCAGCTGTGGGAAGCCAGAAAGAATGGAGCTTGCAATAGCTCTCATGCAAATACCAGCAGCTTATTTGGCACACCCCAAATTTTGAACTGATCTGGGAAAATTTAAGGAACTGTGGCCACCATCGCTTCTTGGATGGCTGTAGGAAGGAGTGTGTCTTTATAGATTTCTAAATCTTTGAATATTTTGTGAGCCATACATGGCTTTAGCTCTAAGTATGTAAATGGTCATAGGTGCAGCTTGGGATAAGTTTGGTACACAATGCACAACTCACTAATTAGAGGTGCTTTACTCAGGCAGTTATATTTAATTGATAAGGCTGGTAAATTACATAGATATAGATATGAAGGCTTTATGAGACATCCAAATTTTTAAAAAGTTATGCAAACAAGCCAGATTATAGATACACACAAAGGTTCCTAGTCCTCTGTTACTCACAAACTGTTGGGAACAATGGAAAACACAGATGGAAGAAGATTCTTAGTGGAGTACATGATAAGTGTGACGTTATGGTCCAGTTTACACTAGCCTGTCAATCCTGATGGTCCCAACTACGGCTGAGCAAGGCAAAAACCTTTTTATACACCTTTTTGCAACCCACCCACATGTATCTGGGACCATATTTGATGAGGTTTCAGTCCCCTGCCCATGTGTGGTATTCCAGAGGGCCCTCTTTAGTATTGCAGCTAACCATAATCAAACTTCTGAGGCTGGTCTAAGTTATTTGTGTCAATCCCTTTCCCAATACAATCCCTTTCCCTATTGATACATCAGTGCAGTCGGTGTCATGGATACATATACAAGAAATCCACCAAAAGCTACTATATTAAATTTGATTTTGAAACTTCACAGTTTCGCTATTTGTCAAAAATTGTATGTTGCTAAATCTCATGACCTTTTTCTAGCACTGATGCTAAGTTAGGCTTTTTGTGATTACTAGGCCGTACATAGTCTTCCTTCTATTGCCAAGCCTACAATAATAATCATTCTTAATTTATATAATTTCCTACTTGCATTTCACCTATACTAGCATCACTTTTAAAAGCATTTTGCTCATTATATATTAATTAAGCGTGCCTCATAACTTCTATAATATCAGGTCATGGGCCACAAGACAATACAGAAATTGTGGCATCAAATAAATGAGAAATACAGAAAGAGAAACTTAGGTGTCATAACAGTGCCAACTACATTACAAGAGACATCAGTGGCCGAATTAATCATTAGAGAGACAAGAAGTGTGAGGTAATATCTTTTATTGGACCAACTTCTGTTGGACCAAGCTCTCTCTCACCAACAGAACTTGGTCCAATAAAAGATATTACCTCACACACCTCACTTCTAGAATACTAGATGTGTGACTTATGTACAGCTATCACAACGCTAAGAAGAACTTGAAAGTGTTACTAGTTGCTAAATTCTATTCTCACTTTTAAAAAAAAATCTTCATTTGCTTTCATTAAGATTTTGCTGCCTTTGTGATGTTGGCGAGAATTTGTTTTTAAATGAAGAATATTTCCTTAGTGAGTAGGCTTTTCTCAAGATCTTGTGGATCAACAAACAAAGCAGGTATTTTCTCTTACTCTTTCTCTTTCTGCTTCAATTAAAGTAATTAAACTAGAGTAAAATAATATGGTTTCTATATTTGGGGAATAATTTATTATTACCTTGAAGCTATTTTACTCAATTTAAAAGGCTCCCTTGGGAGTTTATTGTTTTGAATCTTGCTGGTTGATTACCAACTTTTGCTATGATAATGGTCCATCATGCTGGCAGTGGGGGGTATCTCCCAAGATCATCTTTATTTCATATTTTATTGTTAAGTATTTTAAAATAGTTTTTAAAGGGATTCTTTTTAGCGTCTGGTCTTTCTTGTTTCTAAAGGCAAACATTTTATTGTACTAGATAGGAAGAAAGACAAGATACAAGGGATGTGATTTAATTAGATTATACCTTTATTAACTTAACTCATCTGGGAATTATCCTACAATACCTTATACAGTAATGCCCATGATTCTTTCCTTAACCATTTCCACGTAGGGTGCCATCAGCCCTTCACCATTCCACACTTGGTCCCCAGACTGCCGCTGGGACCCATCACCTTCCCCTTGTCTGAGGATTAAGGCTCTGGAGAAAGGGGGTTGTCTTCTCCTTGTGCCAGACATTGGGAACCCCAACCCCATTCCCCACCTTCTTTAGGTGATGCCTTCCCCAAAGTTCATGCCAATTCTTGGTATGAGGTAACTGGACCTCTGATGGAACAAATACCTGCACTAGACACCGGCCACTAGGAGGTGCCTGAGATTATCTTGGCTGCGCCCACACAACCCCCAGCCAGGTTCCCAGATAGTTAACAAGTTGCTCCCTAACTTTGGCCAAAAACATATCTGCTTCCCATCAGACCAGTGTGCCCATCTTCCCCAAATAATGCAGGTGTCAAATATAATTGCAAACAAATTTAGCCACCTCACAAATCAGTCTGCATACTGTCTTCCAGCCTGACATTATCCTGAACCTTCAGAAGCTAAGCACACTCATGACAATCTATGGGTTTGGCTTGTGAAAATAATTTCACTCACTTAGTTAAAACCAGCAAACTAAAGACCAAGGGATATAGGGAGTAGTCAGGAAACTGTTTTATGGGATCCTAGCTTATAATTTGCAAACCCTCTCATACTTATAGTAAGGCAAAAGAATAAGAGAGAGATCATTATTCTAGGCATTTCCCATCATTCTCTAAGGCTCAGATCCACAAAGGGATTTAGGTGCTCACTTTCACTTTATGCACCCAATTCCAAAATTTAGGCACTACTGAGATCCTCAACCCCCGCTAAGCTACAGCCTAACTCTGAAGTAAAAGGCCCCTATGTACCCAAATTTCTGCTGCTTGGCAAATTCACAGTGCCTCAGTGTAGGTGTCTGGGCACCTATCTCAAGCCTAAGCCCCAGTGCAATCCTCAAACCAGGTCGAGATAGGCATTGCCCCACCTATCTCACCTGGGGGCCTGATCCAAAAGGCATGCTCACAACAGCCACACAAAATGGTTGGAGGAAGCCTCTTTTCTAACTTTTAGCCCACTGGTGAGAGTACTTATCGAGGATGTGGGAGGCCCCAATTCAATTTGCCGGACTGCCTGATGTGGAGAAGGGATTTGAACATGGTCCCTCATTCTATCCTGGCTGGGATGATTTAATTGGGGATTGGTCCTGCTTTTGAGCAGGGGGTTGGACTAGATGACCTCCTGAGGTCCCTTCCAACCCTGATATTCTATGATTCTATCTCGAGGGGAGTTCCCACAACTACTAGACTACAGAGTCATTCTCGCTCACTTTCTGGCTCAGTGCATGCTCACTTTAATTATTTATGCATAGTGGAATAATTTCAACAGCGGAGATTGAGAAAGCCCAACGTACCTCAATATATCCCATAGTTCAGTAGTTAGGGCACTCCCCCAAGAGATAGAAAATGCCTGTTCGATCAGACAGAAAGGGGAGTTGAACCATTGGGCTGATTGTTAAAAGGGGGGAATCATCCTTTGCCTCTTTGAGGACTATTTTCCTAAGATTGCCTTGAGACATAAGTATATCCTTATTGCTTGAAATATGGTAACTGTAGGAAAGAATTGATGACTGATGGTTATAAGTAAATCATACAGTACCTAGTCTGTATACAGCACTTTTCATCATTAGACCTCAAAGTGCTTTACAAAGGAGGTAAATGTTGTTATCCCCAAATGTAGTAAGAAATCTGAGTGAGTGATTGTTCTGTGGTATAACTGCTGAGCCCTAACTCTGTGAATACTTGCAAGTTGGTATTTGTGTGTTCAGTACATGCTTAGAATGGTTGGTCTATTTAAACTTGACCTACAAAATTGTAGATTATATACCTATATAGCTCGAAGTTAATTAATAAACTTATTTGCAAAAAGAAAAGGAGTACTTGTGGCACCTTAGCGACTAACCAATTTACTTGAGCATAAGCTTTCGTGAGCTACAGCTCACTTCATCGGATGCAGCTGTAGCTCACGAAAGCTTATGCTCAAATAAATTGGTTAGTCTCTAAGGTGCCACAAGTCCTCCTTTTTCTTTTTGCGAATACAGACTAACACGGCTGTTACTCTGAAACCAATAAACTTATTGTTATTCTTAACCAAAGTGTCCTGATCTGAGAAATACTGTCTAAAGTAAAAGTAGATCTTAAAAGAACATAGCATTAAAATTAGTAAGCTAACACAATAAAAGGGGGTATCTTTATTAAATTCCATTCAAATATTGGTTATAATGTATATCAATTATTTTTGTTTTTATTTTTTTGTAAATTATTTTTATTGTTTTTCTTTTTATTACAGAAGGTGGAGAAAGCAACTAGGGGAGAGCTGTTCTAGATTTGATTCTGACAAATAGGGAGGAACTGGTTGAGAATTTGAAAGTGGAAGGTAGCTTGGGTGAAAATGAGCATGGAATGACAGAGCTGATGATTCCAAGGAATGATATAAGAGAAAATAGCAGAATAAAGATAATGGACTTCAAGAAAGCAGACTTTAGCAAACTCAGAGAACTGGAAGTTAAGATCCCATGGGAAGCAAGTCCAAAGGAAAAAAAGTTCAAGAGAGTTGGTAGTTTTTAAAGGAGTCATTATCAAGGGCACAAGAGCAAACTATCACAATGTGTAGGAAAGACAGGTAGTACGGTAAGAGACCACCCTGACTTAACCAGGAGAACTTCAGTGATGTGAAACTCAAAAAAGGTCATGAATAATGTGGAAATTAGGTAAAATTACAAAGAAATAATGTAAAAAAACAAGCATGTAGGGATAAAATTAGAAAGGCCAAGGCACAAATTGAGGTTAAGCTAGCTAGAGACACAAGTGATAACAAGAAAACACTTTACAAATACATTAGAAGCAAGAGGAAGACCAAAGACAAGCTAGGCCCATCACTCAATTAGGAGGGAAAGAAAATAACAGAAAATGTAGCAATGGCTGAAGTGTTACTTATTGTTTCAGTGTTCACCTAAAAGGTTATCAGTGATCAGACAACAAACATAATGAACATCATTGTAAATGGGATAGAATCTGAGTCTAAAATAGGGAAAGAACAAGTTACAAATGACTTAGACAAGTTAGATATCTTCAAGTTGGGAGGGTCTGACAAAATACATCCTAGAATACTTAAGGAACTGGCTGAAGAGATCTCTGAGCCATTAGCAATTATCTTTGAGGACTGGAAAAGAGCAAATGTAACACCTATCTATAAAAAGAGGAATAAAGACAATCGAGGGAATTATAGACCAGTCAGATTAACTTATGTACCCGAAAAGATAATGGAACAAATAATCAAGCAATCTGTTTGTAAGCACTTAGAAGATAATAAGGTGATAAGTAACAATGAACATGGATTTGTCAAAAACAAATCCTGTCAGACCAAGCTAATATCCTTCTTTGACAGGGTTACAAGTCTTATGGATAGGGGAAAGCAGCAGAAGTGATATATCTTGATTTTAGTAAGGCTTTTGATGTCTCACATGAATTTCACATAAGCAAACTAGGGAAACATAGCCTAGACAAATCTCCTATAAATTGGGTGTACAACTGATTGGAAAACTGTAGTCTGAGTGTAATTCTCAATGGTTCACATTCAAGCTGCAAGGGCATATCGACCATGGACCCACAGGGATCTGTCCTGGGTCTGGTTCTATTCAATATCTTCATAAATGATTTGGATAATGGTATACAGAGTACACTTAGAAAGTTTATGGATTATACCAAGGTGGAATGGGTTGCAAGCACTTTGGAGGACAGGATTAAAATTCAAAATTATCTTGATATACTGGAGAAATGATCTGAAATAAATATGATGAAATTCAACAAAGGCAAAGTACCACATTTAGGAAGGAATAATCAATTGCACAAATACAATATGGGAAATGACTGCCTAAGAAGGAGTACTGAAGAAGAGGATCTTAGTGTTATGTTGGATTAAAAACTAAATATGAGTCAACAGTGTAATACTGTTGCAAAAAAAGCAAACATCATTCTGGGATAGATTAGCAGGAGCAAGATGAGAGAAGTAATTCTTCCACTCTACTCAGCACTGATAAGGCCTCAATGGGAGTACTGTATCCAATTCTGGGTACCACACTTTGGGAGAGATGTGGATAAATTGGAGAAAGTCCAGGAGAGAGCAGCAAAAATGTAAAGGTCTAGAAAATGTGACCTAAGAGGAAAGATGGAAAAAATGAGTTTGTTTAGTCTGGAGAAGAGAAGACTGAGGGGGGACATGATAACACTCTTCAAGTACATAAAAGTTTGTTATAAAGAAGAGGGTGATAAATAGTTCTCCTTAATCATTGAAGACAGGACAGCAAGGGAGATTTAATTTAGACATTAGGAAAAACTTCCTAACTGTAAGGATAGTTAATCACTGCAACAAATTACCTAGGGATGTTGTAGAATCTCCATCACTGGAGGTTTTTAAGAACAGGTTTGACAGGGATGGTCTAGATAATATTTAATCCTGCCTCAGTGCAGGGGACTGGAACTAGAGGTCCCTGTCAGTCCTACATGTCTA